AACGTTACTGTCAGATGTGCTCCACAAAAACGAGAGAATTCACCGGGAAAGGGGAAGCCACGAGTCCCGGCAAACAGGAGAGTGGTGAAGGGAAACCCAGGATGATCCAGACAGGTACAAGGTGCCATGGGCGGGGGAACCACGAGGGGCAGACACGCTGAGCACAGACTGCCTGGGTGAGCCTGGGGCAGATTATACATATTTTGTTTATCTTGACAACCATGAGCTGGTGAGGTTCCACTTCCCTAACCCCTGGGTCAGCGGAAGGTCCTCATTTCTCCCCAAGGAGCATGCCATGTTAACCTTTTTGTAAGAAGTGGAGGAAGGTCCTAGTGAGCTAAGAAGGCAAAAGAGAAAGCAAGCTCTCTCCCAGCCATGTTTTTCCTGACATGGCGTTCCAAATACAGACCTGCCCACGTGTCCCAGGTCATTAGCAATCTTCCCAGGACCTGCCCACTGATTCCCCCCCAACCCCCCAACCCCCCGCGGGATCTAGTCAGGGAAGCGGGATTCAGACTGACCCAGTCCCCACTCAGCTTACCGCCTCCAGGAGCCTTCCTATAGTCAAGGCTTCACGACTACTTCCTGCTGGGGCGGGTTTGAGCTTATTTTTCTAAACAAAACCACATTGTTTAGGGATACTTTCAGGGGCGGGAAAACTATTAAGAAAAGCAAGGGAATGAAGAACACACAAGTTAGGAGAGCAGTGTCCTGCCGGGGGAGGAAGGGTAGCCATCAGGTGAGCACGGGACAGGCTCCCAATGTTCTTTTTTTAAAAATAATAATAATAATAACTTATTTATTCACAGCCACAATCATTTTGCTGTTACCCACATATTAAGTATGATATTCTTAGTGAGTGGCAATGCGATTAAACATGCTTCATTCTTTTTGAAAACCTCGATTAACACTGTGATGCAGCCACTCAGAAGCCCGGTTCTGAGTTTTCCCTTAAAACTTGGTTGCACAGTTTTGATCACTAAAAAGGCACTTGGGAAAGGTATGTGGATCCAAATGGAGAACGGGCCTCACTAAATCACGGGCTCCCTTTCCAGCTCTGCCCAGCTGTGCGCAGGTTTCAGTGACAGCCTGGCCATCTCCTTGGTGGCTGCCTGTCATCTCCCTCCCTGGTTGGAAAGCACTGCAATGTTACGTTTTCAACTCCCAGGATCAAAACCCACAGAAATTATGTATTTGGGAGACTTTAAGTCTGTCTGATCAGACAGGTGTACATTTTTGCCAAAACTTATCGAATTGCACCTTTAAAATGGGGACACTACTCTCCAAGTAACTGAAAAGTTCAGGTAACTTGATGGTGCCTTGATGGCTCACGAATAAGCTTCAGGATGTTCCCAGGGAAATCCTCAGGGGGCTGAGGCTGCCAGGAAAAGTCAGGCATCTTGGTCATCTCCTGTCTTCCGTGAAGCAGATTGCTCCTCTTTCGGTCCCAGGGGCCTTGCCAAGCAGAGATAAGGCTGGGCCATTGAGGGAGCCGGGGACAGACCCCATGACATCACCCCTCGGGCAAGGGCAGGAAGGGCTTTGAGCATGTTGACAGTCAGGAATCTAGGGCAGGGGTGAGTGTCTGTTGTGTTTTTCTGAGCAAGTTTCCCTTTGAATTGGAGGCAGTGTCTTCACAAACCGAGTGACAGCAGCTGCGTGAATGGCCCCTCCTCGCTAGTGTGCCTGGCTGTCACACCCAGTTCTGGAGGCCCCTTCATGCTGTGTGCCTCTCTTCCCAGAGCCAGGGCTCCTCAGCACGCCCTGCAGCAGGCAGCACCCAGGGCACACACACATGCATTCGCTCGCGCGCACACACCCCCCACACCCGACTCCCATCCCCCCCTCTCCTCCCAGCCCACTTCTCCCCAGGCTGCCCGCTTCCTGTCCCCACCTCTTTCTCCTCTCCCAATGTCCAATAGGTTAACCTTCGTGATGAGTCCACGGGTGTTTATTTTATTTTTTAACTGTGCATATGTTTTATAAAATCTGTTGTATATGTGGTATAGTTCACAATGTAAACAAAAAAAAAAGTTTTAATAAATTCACAAGAGAATGACCTGGGGAAACTGTTAAGAAGGCAGATAGATTCCTGGCTCCATCACAATTCTAATTTGGGAGACCTGGTCAAGACCTGGTTAGATGAGGCTGAAGCAGGTGAGCCAAGACCACCTTCAGATACCTACCTGGGTTATGAGCATCACAGGTTTTGGCATCTCACTGACTGGGTTCAAAGCCCCAACTCAGATGACTCCTGATTGTGTGACATCAAGCGAGTCTCCTTCATCTGTAAAATGAGGATTTTATATTTGTAATATAAATATAATTACATTTATTTATGTAATTGATGCTAGCCCCCCACGCCCCTGGACCTGCATGGCTATAATAAGAATTATTATTACTATTGCCTTTAATAATAGTAATACTTTGTGGAATAAGAGTGTTTTCCCCAGATGCAGTAATGTTATTAATCTGTCCTTATACACATAAATTTCCCTGATTTTCTCTTGGCAAAGAGAGACTATTACTGTTAAAAACTTTTCCATAAGCTTTAAACTTTTCATATCCTTTAGCAAAATGTGAGACTCTAAAGAAAAACCCTAAACAGAGGAGTTATATATAATAGCAAAATATTAGAAACAACTTAAATAGCCAACAATAGAGGTAAGTTTAACATATACTGTGAGCTATCATAGAATGGAATATTATGCAACCATTAAATACAAATTTATAAAAATGTGTAAAAGTTACTTTGTACTGTTAAATTAAAAAATAGCCAGACAGAGAATATATCTACTATGTGATCAAAATTACGTAGACAACTGGAGGGGGAGGGGAGGCCAGGGGATTGTCAAGGGTGGGGGGAAAAAAAGGAGACATATGTAATACTCTTTGTAATACTTTAAGCAATAAAAAAATAAAAATAAAAAATTACGTAGACAACAAAGTAAACCACTGTTTCCATAGAAAACAATAGAAGAAAATAGGCCAAAATGTTCAAACATAGGTTGTCTTTGGGGTGAGAGTTGCATGATTGTTTTTACTTCCTTTTGACTTTTCTTTATTTTCCAAATGTTCTATAACGGGACTTTTTTTTAATCTCACTCTTAAAAAGTGTATTCTTTTGTTATCTTTTCAAGTCCAAACTAATTTAAAGGCTCTGCCTCAACGAGGATTCATAAAAGACAATGACATTTCCATATACAGAGCAGGCTGTCAGAAGAGAAGAGAGGCTTCGGAGAACTCATTCAACCTCCCACGTTACCAGTGAGGAACCTGGGCCCCGAGAGGTGAACCGACAAGCACAAGAGGACAGAGACCTGCGAGGGCCTTCCCATGCCACCTAACACTTTTCCCATTTCTTCGCACTTTCCCCTCGATCCCCACAATCCAGATTGTTACATACTCTACCAGCAAAAACCAGCAGCACTTGTTCAAACTGCAGACCCTCAGGCCTCTGCCCCAAAGAAAAGGAATCAAAATCTGCATGTTAACAAAAACCCTGGGGCAAGTGTCTTAGAGAAATAACAAAATAAAAGGAAGTCTCTCTTGGATGGCTTAATTTAGATGGAAGGTAACTTGGGTGGCCAAGTTCAAACAAAGTGACCTCAGTTCCAACACCAACTGACTTTGTGACATCCGGCAGGTTTCTCAATCACTCTGTGCCTTGGTTTTCCTCATCTGTAAAGTGGGGATGATCAACTCAGTCAGGTGCTAGCAAGTGCCAAGATGGAAGCTGGGCTTTATAAACAGGGCTGATAAATACTTCTTGTTAGGGACGTTTCAACAGGCCTGGCACTCTGTGAGAGCTGGAGCCCCTCGGTCAGTACTTGGCACACAGGAAGCCTTCTGCCAGTGTGCGTTTAACAAATAAGAGCCCAGATGACCTCTCTCAATGTTTGAGTTGGATCGCCCCATTTTATTAGTATACTAGCTGCCTGGTGCACAACATTAGTACACTGGGCGGGGGAGGGAGGGTAGTCCTCTCAGCCTGGCCTGCGTCTTCTCACAATCTGGGACCCTTTGGGGGGATGCCCGCTCCCCACAGCCTAAGCTGGCAGGTGGACATCCCTTGAGGGGTCCTTAGCGCTGCTGCTGCTGCTGCTGCTGCTGTGTTCACCAGCCATGTGCTTGACTTCTGGCTGAGCAGCACTTTCCTTGTGGGAGCACACTTACCACCAGGGGGCAGCTCCTGCGTTCAGCGTCTGCCCCCTGGTGGTCAGGGCACATCATAGCAATCAGTCTTTCTGCAGTTCGGTGGATTTGCATATTAGCCTTTTATTATATACAATGACACTTTCAAAACTGCCAGTTTTCTCCCTTCCAACATTCAAAACTGTGCCAACCTCCCACCTCCACCAGGCAGTGAGGAGGAGGGGAGGTTGAAGGTCTGAGATAAGCTTGACTCATACTGTAAATCATTCATACTAGAACTTTCTATGGTTGCAGACTTACAGGGCTCAACCATCCACCTTCTCTAAAGCCCCCACTTCTTATTACTCCGACCAAAGCTCTCCCTAAGCCACGCC